AGAGACTCCCTAGAGCTGTGGTCCCAAGGCTCTTGTTCTACTCAGCCCTGCACTCCCAGCCAGGAGAGGAGACCCTGGGGGAGAAATCTCTGCAGGACATCGCTGTCTTGGTTGTGTAATGGGAAAAGGACGCTGGCAATGAGTTCCCTGTGGTGGTTCTGTACAGGGTCAGGCATTTCCCCCCTCTAGAAACTTCATTTCTGGAGTCTGAGGCTCCAGCTTCTCATGTGTGTGAAAGGGGAAGGGATGGGATGGGATGGGAGGTGAGCAGGAGCCAGGCTCTTGAGTTCCCTTTCCAGCTCAGAGAGGAGCGGAGCTTCATGACTGCAGGATAGGGTTTAGGAATCGGACACCTGGGTTTCATTTCTCACTGGCACAGTCTAGTGGGGCAGCAAATGCAGGGGAGCTGTTCTTGGGGAGGGCCCTTGCCTGTTCCCTCCACCCTCATGATCAGGCCCGCCCACTCTGTCCTCACAGCAACCCCTCCAATCCCTGCCGCTAAGTTCCTCAGCCTCTGGGACCAGTTCAGACCCTGAGACTTCCCCGGTCAGTTAGGTGCACCTTTTTCTAGAGCTCCCCTCATGGGGCATTCTGGGCTTCAGTTTAATTTTTCAGGGATGTGATAGTATGAGTAGGCAGACCAGCTTTGCTCGGGCTTGCAGTGCACCATTGCTTGGTCTTGACTGATAGAGCCCAGTAGATCATAGATCAACACGTGCAGTGCTCCTGCCTCTGGCTCCCTCTTTCCTGGGTGGGGATGTTCCTTCCTCTGTATCCTGGCAGGCAGGGACTTCCCCTCCATCTTCAGTTTTCCTCACCTTGAGCTGGTGACTGATAAAGCTCCCTGTGGAGAGCAGCTCTTGCCCTGTTATAGCCTGGTGCTCTCTGTCACCAGACCTCCTGCTCGGCCCCAGCAAGTGACCTTGTTGTAAGGTGACTTCTCCCTGACAGACCAGTTCCCTGGGCAGGTGCCAGCCTGCTGTGTAAAGCATCTCTGCTCCAGGGGCTGACAACCTTCTGATATTTTCAGCCCTGCGCCACTGGCACATGGGACTCCAGTTTAAGAGGGAGGTAAAATCCCACAGGGCAAGGCAGAAAGCCACTGGTTCAGAATCACTATGACAATGCTGGTCCCTCCTCTGCCATACCACCTGAGCTGGCTCCTTTCTGTGGCACCCCACTCCATACCATACCCCAAGACCCTGCTTCCATGCCAGCATCCCTGCTTATTCTTCTATGTAGTGACTGAAGTCTTTAACCCACTGTGGACTTGGCATTGGGTACCAGCCCAACAGCGCTCGGCAAAGTGATGGTTTCCCTGCTCCTGTCCTGCTCTGAGCACAAGCCTACACCTTATGCCAGCACCAAATATCCATGGATTCGCTACAGGGCCATTCCCCGCAGAGTCTGCTTCTCCCCCACAGCCAGCCCTAGACATCATTCCTCCAGCAGAACCTACACTTTGTACCCTGTTTGCTCCACAACCATGATGTGGCTTTATTGCTGTCTTAATTAGTGACTGACTTTGCTGGGTGAGTGTGATGCTAATGGGTTATCATTGCAGGAATGACCTTTTTTCCCCGCTCCTCAGCTACTAATAGTCCTCCAATGATATTGATTAGTAATTGCCACTTTCATTAGACATTCATTCCATTAGTACAACTGGGTGCCACCCCCACTGCTCCCCTGATTTCTCAGTCTTGTTCTTTCA